AACATATCAATACTTGATGAAAAATACCTGTTCCATGTTATGCCTAAGATATTTAGTATTCAGACAGATAGTGAGGTTAAGCTCATTTTTATACTTTTCTACTGGATGGTTAAGACCAAGATAAAGCAAGACCTATATAACAAAAAATGTAACTTTTGTATCTGACAAGGCCAGTCAAATCCCCTCAGGATTTGCCCGGAAATCCTGTACAACAGTTTGTAGATCTTTTGTCAGTGTCATCCATGTGGGCAGAGAAGGACATCCGGGAACCTGCTTTAGGGAGGGTCTCCCACTCTCTGTTTCTGGCTTCCCCAGTATGAGCAGCATTCCTCCACCAGGTTGTCCTTGACTCTCTCCCCTGCAGACCATGGACTGCAACATCAGAGATCGAGCTATTCTACACCTTTTCCTCTTTCACATTGCATGTGGGAGGTACCTTGTCACAGCAACAATGCTGATTAACACAATTGCAACTTAAAGATTTTAGATGCTGCCAATCTTTTTTTTTTTTTTTTTTTTTTTTTGAGGAACCGGGGATTGAACTCATGCCCTTGCACTTGCCAGGCAAGCACTTATTCTACTGAGCTAACTCCCCAGCCCCCTGCTGCCAATTTTTTGCCTTTTGAAAGAGGAGAGTGAAAAATAAAGTCCCCAAGCTTTACGCTGACCTTTGGTAGACCTCCTAGGGAGTCATTTGGATCTCTGTGCTGATGTCCAAAAGGCAAGAGGAAAGCAGCTTTAAAAGTAAAATTTTTATAATGCATGTTCATGCTAGTCCGTCAGCAGATGTTCTCTGGATGCCCCGCTGACCTCGCTGATCTGGGCACAGACGTTTCCACACAGCTGGCCCTGCTGCTTTTTCCTGTCTCCCCACAGGGCTTGGATAGCTCCCCACCCCTCCAGGTCGCTGTGGAGATGAGTGGGTGGAAAGCAGGGAATGGGTGCCAGCGGACAGCAACAGACCAAAATGGGATAAAAGTGGGCCTAATGTGAGTGTGCTTAGTTCAAATTATACCTCATGCCCCAGGACATCTTTCCATTTTCTGTATCATCTGAACACATAGATATAATGCAGATTCCATAACTGACATTAGAGAGC